ACGTGTAACTTAAATATATATGAAAAAGTTTAGTATGTATCTAAGTGTACACATATTTAAATTTTCAGTTGTTTTTTTCCAGGGTTTCAACAATCGTGGCACATTCATAGGTCCACTTGGACCCTTCCACAGCCGTGCAGCCTGACTGCTCCTTGTAAGTTAGTCATAGGCTATGCTGGGCCCTTGGGCTCCTGCGGCAGAGCCCCACAAGCAGGGTGCCTCAACACAGGTGTGCGGAGTCTGACGTGCAGGTGTGTGCAGGCTGAGGCTCGCAGGAACCCCGGGAAGCTGCTGCCAGGCCCTCTGGGCGCTCCACAGTTGCCAGCGGTTTCCGGGGCATCCTCCAGCATCTCCCCATCACTGTACAGCTCACGCCTCATCGTGCCTGTGTGTGTCCCCATCTGCTCTTCCTCTAAGAACACCACCCCTCGGGGAGGGGGGGACTGTTCTAGTGACCTCGGCTCAGCTACTGAAAACCCTATTTCCTTTATTTTTTTATTTTTTTTTTTTATAATAAATTTTATTTTTATATTCCCCATACAATTGCAACCCCCCCATTCTGACCCCAATCCCTCCCCTCCCGCCCCCCACCCCCCAAAAAGTGTCTCTGGTTCATAGTTTTTTGTTGATTTTGATTTTCACTTTCTTATAGTTATTCATTTTCCTGGTCCCTTATTTAAGTTTTCTAGATTCCTGCTATGAGTGAGACCATCCGGTATTTTTCTTTTTCTTTTTGGCTTATTTCACTGAGCATGATCCCTTCCAGTGCCATCCATGTTGCTGCAAATTGCACGTGTTTATCTTTTTTGAATGCTGAGTAATATTCCATGGTATATATGTACCACATCTTCTTGATCCAGTCATCTATTTTTGGGCATTTGGGCTGTTTCCAAAGCTTAGCTATTGTAAACAGTGCTGCTATAAACATAGGTGTGCAGGTGCTCTTTGGAATTGATGTTTCTGTGTCCTTTGGGTAAATACCTAGGAGTGGAATTGCTGGATCATATGGAAGCTCCATCTTTAGCAGGTTGAGGAATCTCCACACAGCTCTCCATAGTGGTTGGACCAGTTTGCACTCCCACCAACAGTGCAGAAGAGTTCCTTTTTCTCCACAACCTCGCCAACATTTGTTGTTGCTAGTTTTTTTAATATGTGCCATTCTCACTGGTGTGAGATGGTATCTCATGGTAGTTTTGATTTGCATTTCCCTGATGACAAGTGATGTTGAACATTTTTTCATATGCCTGTTGGCCATTTTCATTTCCTCTTCAGAGAAGTTTCTTTTTAGCTCTTCTGCCCATTTTTTGACTGGGTTATTTTCTTTGTTGTTGCTGAGTCTCATCAGCTCTTTGCAGATTTTTGTGATCAGTCCTTTATCATTAGTGTTGGGTGCAAAAATGTTCTCCCAGTCGGTGGGGTTTCTCTTTGTTTTTGTTATTGTCTCTTTTGCTGTGCAGAAGCTCTTTAATTTGATGTAGTCCCAGCTGTTTATCTTTGCCTTCACTATCACTGCTTTGAAACCCTATTTCCTTTAAAAAAAAAAAAAAAAGATTTATTTATGCATACCAGAGCTGGAGTGCAGGGCAGAGATGCAGGGGGTGAGAGGAGTCACCAGAGACAGAGTGGGGAGCAAAACAGGAGGATCCACTGAAACACACTGCTGAGGGGAGCAGCGGGGAGACAGGAGAGGTCTGCTGTGCTGAGTAGGCAGCTCCCTGGCTGCCCAGGGATCGAACTCGTACTGCAGTGGCTACAGATTGCTTCATAGTGTTGTGTCTTAACTCCTTGTGCTACTAGGGAGACCCCAAATAAATAAATCTTAAAAAACAAAACAAACTCCCTTCTCAGACAAGCTCTGTACAATTGGTCCCCTACACACACCCCGCATTCTTATAGTTTAGTCAAAATAGAGAATTTTAGTTCAATTCACACCTATCACATTATTCATTTTAATGTATGTCAGCTATGTCAACACCGTACATAAAGAAGAGACAAGTGTCGCCCCCCCAGCCCTGTCCTGTCACCCTCCTCCTGGTCTCTGTGCTTCCCCTGTCTGGCCACTAAGACCAAGAATCCCATCCTAACCAAATCCAATCCCCCCATTCTTCTGTCCAGACTGTTCTCAAATAGGTCCCAGCTGCTGCTTTCTTTGTGTGGGATCGTGGGTCAAAAGCCACCTCCCTAAGGAGTTAGGAGAGGATTCATTCTGGTTCACAATAAGCCTGCCCCCTGCTCTCTCCGCACAGGGCTCCTCTCTGCCTGTCTGGGGTCCTGGGCTAGCCGGTAGCGACAGTGAGATCAGACGGGCGTCTGACCCATGTGGGTCCAGTGACCTGGAGACGTGGACGGGCCGTGAAGGCTTCCCATCCCCCAGCCGGCCCTGAGGTGGCGCTCGCTGCGGTGCTGCAGGCCAGCTTCCAGCTGGGCAGTGCCTGGAGTGTGGGACCTGGCAGTGCCGCGAGGGGGGCATGCGACTGGGCCAGCCTCACCCTTGGCACTTGCTGCCGCCCCTTTCCCTTCTGGTGTCACTCCGCACGCTCCCTGCAATCATCGGCAATACTGGTTTTCGGTGAATTCTGTGAGCCCTTCTAGCGAATGATTGAAGTTGAGGGTAGTTTTGGGGACCCAACTAACGGTGAGGGCCCCTCTAATTTTGTGGCTGCGCATCTAGGACCAGCTCTGTGGCCCTCTCCCCGCTCTGCGCCCGCCGGCTCCGGTGTTCCTGTGGGCCTCTGGGTTGTGCTCGCCCGCTGGCACTGCGGGCTGGCCCTGCCGGGTGCACCCCTTCAGCTTGGCTGGGCCCCTGCTCCGCTTTCTCGCGGCCAGGCGGGTGGCTCCTTCATCCTGGCTTTGTGCTGTCCAGAGCCGCTGCACTCAGTTCCTTTCCACAGCCTCGCTAAGTGTTTCCCCCGTACTGAATGGTGGGCTTTTCATCTGACTTGTTTTTTCCTAAAGATTTATTTATTTTATGCAAGAGCTGGGGTGCCGGCCAGAGGTGTGGGGGTGAGAGGACTCAGCAGAGACAGAGTGGGGAGCAGAACAGGCAGAAGGACTGAAACCCACTGCTGAGGGGAGCCGCGGGGAGACAGGAGGGGTCTGCCGGGCCACGTGGGTCGCTCCCTGCCTGGCCGGGGATCGAACTCGTGCTGCAGAGGCTGCGGACAGCTCCACGGCGCGGCGCTCAACCGCCTGCGCCACCGGGGAGGCCTGAATCTGACTTTTTTGAATGGTTGATTTTTTAAAATAATGAGTGTGAAAGCACAAACCCAGAAAGAAATGGAGCGGGGTCAAGCGGCACGTCCAGCGGACCCAGCAGAGGCAGCCAAGAGGGTAGCAGTCCCGCCGGCCCCGCCCCGGCCCGCCCCGGCCCGGCCTGCCCGCCCCCCGCCCCCCGGCCCGGCCCGGCCCGCCCCGCCCCGGCCGCCCGCGGTGTCACTGACTTCTGCCCGGTACGGTGGGCCCCGCCCCGCCGGGCCCCGCCCCGCCCCACCCACACCAGGCCCCGCCCCCCGCCCAGGCCCCGCCCCGGCCGCCCGCGGTGTCACTGACTTCTTCCCGGTACGGTGGGCCCCGCCCCGCCCCGCCGGGCCCCGCCCCGCCCCACCCCGCCAGGCCCCGCCCCCGCCAGGCCCCGCCCGCGGCCCCCGCGGCGCCCGGGGGCGTGGCCGGAGCGGCGCCGCGCATGCGCGCGCGGGCCGCGGTTGCCGGGCAGCGCTGGCCGAGGCGGCGGGCGGCGCGGCGGGAGAGGCGGCCCCGGAGCCCGCGGCCCGCGCGAGGCGCCGCAGGCCGGAGCGGCGGGCGCGGTCCGGCCGCGGGATGCGGGACCGGCTGCCGGACCTGGCGGCGGTGAGCGTCGGGGCGGCGGGGGGCGGCTCGCCGGGGCGCTGGCGGCGGGTGGGCGGGGCCGGGCCGGGTTGGGCCGGGCCGGGTCGGGCCGGGTCCGGCAGGGTCGGGGCCGCGCCCTCGGAACCGGCCTCGCCCCGGGCCGCGCCCGAGCCCGAACCTCCGGCCCCGGCTCGCTCCCGCCGCCCGACGGCCGCCCGCGGGGAGCCGCCCGGCCCGACCCGGCCCGGCCCGGCCCGGCCCCGCAGGACGCCCCGGGCGGGCGGCGGGCGGCGGGCGGGGCGCGGGGTCGCGGAGGCCCCGGGCGGACCCGTCCGTCCCGGGCGGCGCGGGCGCGGGCGCGGGGCCGAGGCGCCGGGAGCGGCCCCGGGAGCGGCTGGACGCCCCGTCCGCCCCGTCCGCCCGGTCCCGCGGCGGGGTCCCGGCCCTCGACAGCCCCCGGCCCGGCAGGCGCACCCCGGGCCTGGCCCGGCTCGGGTCTGCGGCTCCGGGCCGCCTTCGGGGCCCAGAATGGTGAGGGGACTCGCGCGAGCGCTGAACTCTCAGTGTGGCGGGATGTTGTTTGTTTATGCTGCAAGAGCCGGGGTGCAGGCCAGAGCCGGGGTGACCGGGCTCCCCAGAGGCAGAGCGGGGAGCAGAGCAGGCGGACTGGCTGAAACACACGGCTGAGGGGAGCCGCGGGACGCAGGCGAGGCTGCCGCGCCGTGGGGGTAGCTCCCTGGCCGGGGAAGGACCTCGAGCTGCAGAGGCTGCCCCTGGCTCCGTGCTGTGAGGCTTCACCCCTGTGCCAGGAGAGGAGGCGCCCGGCCCGTGGGAGACGCCGTCTGCCAGATGATGGCCCACGTGCGTTCTCGTTGCCCTTTACACGGCGTCGGTGACGGCGGCGCTGTAGCTCGCGTAGTCTCCGGCAGAGAAACTGCAGATGCCAGCTGCGGGCTGCGTGCGCACAGTGTGACCGCACCGGGCTGTGCCCTTCGTGTGGCCCGCGGAGAAAATGGGCACTTTCCGTACGCAGGGCCTAGGAGGTGAATCGCAAACACGGTTTCTTAATGGCAGGAGAAGCTGCGCGGCTGCCTTCCCGGTCGCTCTCGGGCACCCCGGACGGCGCGCCCCTGCGGGCTCAGGCGCGGGAAGTGTGGGTCCCGGAGACTGCGGCAGGGCGCCTCTGGTCACTCCCTTCTCACTGAGGTGCGCCTGCGTTTCCCGCGTGCTCCGCTTAGCGTGTCTTCACGTACCAAGTCCTCCAGCTTTTTCTATCTTGTCTGTCGTCACACGGTTTCCACGGTTGGGCTAGTCTGCTCCTCGCTGCTCGTGATCCTGCTGCGCTGAGAATACTTCCTTTTTTAAAGACACCAAGCCCCTGCATTCCCACGGGTGAGCTGCTTTTGTTCTAACCCCAAATCTACTCTGAATTCAAGGATAGAAAACCGCAGAGACGCCAGCTCCTAAGACGGGCTTCCCCTTGCTCGAGCCCACTTCCCCCTTGGCCCGCCGGGGTCACGCTGCCTCCTGCCTGCTTGTGCCTGCTGCTGCGGGGCACACCGCCTTTCTCTCCCTGCTTCCCTGCGGCCGCCCGCCAGCACGTCCTCTCTCGGCCCCGTGTCCCCCGAGAGTCTCCTGCCCTCTGCGTCCCACCGCCTGCTCTGCCTCAGCCACGCTGGTCTCCGCTCCTGGTCTTGCTCCACTGCCCGGCCTCTCCTGGCTGTTCTGCTGCTCACCCACCTCTTCCTGTGTGGCCGGGCCTGCCAGGAGCTTGGGACAGTGCAGGAGCACGGGAGAGCAGTGGGGAGCGTGTTGGGGGGTCGCAGGCAGCAGCCTAATCGCTGACTGAGGGAAGAGCATGTATTGGGGTGCGGGTGTGGGGGACGAAGGGTCAGGGACGTGCTTGGGCCTTGTCTGACTGAGGGTAAGGGCCCAGGTGGGGGTACTCTAGGCAGCTGCTGAGGCCCAGAGGGCCCCACTGGGGTGAAGGCCTCAGGTAGCTCGGGGGTTGTCAGCAGCAGCCCCCTTGAGAGAAGCAGCAGGTTGGGGAGGAGGCAGGAACCCCGCCCTGGGGAGCAGGGAAGGAGGAGAGGCCTGGAGACCAGGCCCGACAGTGCTGGTGCTTAGGTAGGCTGGGGAGGTGGTCCCCGCTGGGACCTGGGGGGGCAGCCTGGGTGGCCAGGGAGGAGCCAGCGGGACTCCCAGGGGGGCTTTGTTTTTCTTCCGCTGCACCTGTTTTTCCATGTGCCTTCCCTGGGCTCCTCCCTCCTCGCAGGCTCAGGCCTCTGCTCCCCCGGCTGCTCCCTCCTCTCCGCTGGTGGGAGGTGCCCCCGTCTCAGTGTCCACCATGCGGGCAAGTCCAGATGGAGCCGGAGCCACTGTCTCCGTCCCCATCCTGGGAGGGCGCAGCCGGCCCTGGTTTCTGGGCGCGGCCCTGGGGCAGCGCGGCCTTCTCCAGCAGCCGTCCTGGAGGGCACGGCCCGGGGCCGCCGGTCCCGGATGCAGGGGGTCGGCGGGGAGCCACCCAGGCCCGCAGGGGGGGCGCCCGTGGTGCAGAGAAGTGGAGCCTGGCTGAGGCGTCTGTGCGGCGCTTCCGCGTGGGCGACGTCCGAGGGCCTGTGGCGCGCGCAGTTGCTGCTGACCCTGAGGAGGCAGGCGTGGCGGAGACACCGGAAGGCCGAAGGACTGGTCAGCCCGTGCCGTCCCAGGAGGGAGAACCCGAGGGCCACTGGCGCCCTGGTCGCACCCCGCTCCCTGCCTGTCACCGCAAGGGCCCTTTCTCTCCTGCCCACGTGGTTCAGCCTTGAGCCGGGAGCGCATCTGAGCAGCAGTGGTGCCGCCACCGGGCGCTTATTTCGAGTCCACGCTCCCGGAGGCCCTGCACATGGGGAGGACACGTGGACCCCGCCGGCGGCCTCTGCGAGGCTGTCTATCCCATGTGTCCGAGCCCGGAGGCCACTGGCTGTCCCTGGAGAGGGGAGTTCTCATGTAGGGCCACATTTTTTTTTTTAAAGATGTATTTATTTATACAAGAGCCGGGGTACAGGCCAGAACCGCGGGAGTTGAGAGGATTCCCCGGAGCCAGAGCGGGGAGCAGAGCAGGCAGACGGACTGAAAGCACTGCTGAGGGGAGCAGCGGGGAGACAGGAGGGGTCTGCCGCGCCATGTGGGACCCTCGCCGGCCTGCTGGCCGGGAATCAAACCTGGCTGCAGAGGCTGCGGACAGCTCCACAGCGCTGCGCTTTACCCGCTGCGCCACCGGGGAGGCCTGTAGGGCCACTTTGAAGGAAGTTTCGTTTAAAATTTAACAGAAGTAGATGTTGATGTTTGAGTGTTGTCTCGCCCTTTGACATGCGGGAGGCCAAGGCCGGCCTGCGGGAGCGTCCTGCTGGCAGTCAGGCTGGCCACACGGTTTGGGGGCTCGCCAGACGCGCCTCAGGAGCAGCCCCGAGTGGCCGGCCTGGGCCGGGAGAGCTGGCCCCGCTGCAGGGGTGCCGGGGCTGGCCCACAGCCAGGTGTGGTGGGCTTGGCTTGCTTCTCTTGGTAATGACGGGAGAGCAAAGATAGTGTCGGTGGGCCAGCCTGCCCCGGGGGCTGCTTCCGGAACTCTAGCCATGAGAAATGCCATTTTGAAAAACAATAATAAACAGGGACCTGCGTCCTGAGTCCTCCTTTCTGCAGCCCGCGGCAGGGGCTGTGGGGGCCTCCAGCTCCCTGGGGCGGCCGCCAGGTCCAGGCGCAGCTTTCGCTGGAGAGCAGCCAGACCACGTGCAAAGGCCCTGGGCGCTCGGGCCTGAGCCTCATGCGGGCACATCTGCCTGGTCAGCTGCGCCGCCCTGGAGTGCAGGACACGGCCCCGGGCGTGTAGGGCGGGACCCGCCGACTGCCCCAGCAGAGACCCTCCGTCCCAGCGTGGTTCATGGCCCGGGGCCCTGGGGCAGGACTTCAGTGTCTGTTTTGGGGGACAGAAATCCCCCATGAAACTTGCCCTGTGAACGGAGCCCGTGTGAAGCAGTCTTCCTGTGTCTCACCCCGGGGTCCCGGGAGAGCGGGCTGGTCGCCCTCAGCGCCGCCCAGAGCCGGGACAGCCGCGTTGGGGAGGCCGCGGGCCAGGCGGGTGGGGCCCGCTCTTGGGCCCGCTCTTGGCTCTGAGAGGCCTGGTCTTCCAGCCCCAGCCGGGTCACCCGGTCTCCGCGCTCACCCCTATCTCCGGGCTGCAGCTGCCGGCCCCGGGGCCCAGCTAACTGACTGTCTTATCTGCGGGCCTGCCCGGAGGGTGCCGGCCCGGGCGTTGCCTGGGTGGTTGGGGCGCAGGTTGATTTCAGGGAAGGACCAAGCGGCTTTCTTAACACATTGCTTGAATTGTGCGGGTTTTTCTGAGCTATTTCAGTAGAATTTTGTTTCCAAGTACCCCTGGTTGTAGATCAAGAGAGCTACGCTTGGGTGGTGGGGGTGGGTTTCAACGAGGCTGTCGAGAGTCTCTGATCCGTCTCAGCCCAGCTGAGGGTGGAGGGGGCGGGCCTGGTGTGCGGGGGAGACGTCCAGAGCCCTTCCCTCCTGGGGGCTCCCCAGGGTACAGCGCTTACCTCACCAACCCCTGGCGCTGGGGGCCGGCTCTGGGGGGCTCCTTGCGGCTGGCGTGGCCCTGCGGCCTGACTCCCTGGGGGCTGCCGCGTGGCTGTCCCTGCCCTCCCGGTCGCTATCTCCTCACCAGGGCGCTTTGCCAAGCCCGAGTTTTGATCTTTAGGGAAAATGTGTGGCCACAGCACTCTCGCTCCCGGGGGGTGGAACTCACCTGGGCTCTGACTGCTTGTGCCGGAACCCAGGTCTCTGGGCCCGGGAGCATCCCGCGGCCCCTCCCGCCTCCGCCTCCCGGGTCTGCCGCTCCCTTGGGATGGTGCCTCCGCCAACATTTACAAATCGAGCTTGACATTTGTTTCGATTTTTTCATTCCAGTGTAGGAAAGATGACGATGGAGACGCGACCGTCGTTGCTGAGAAGGACCACTTCATGGACGAATTCTTCCATCAGGTGGGTGCCCGGGGCTGGAGCCCCCGCACGCGTGCCTGTGCGCGACCATGTGTGAAGTGAAGACAAAACCGGCCTTTGGCAGGGGCTGCGTGAGTCTGTGCAGTCTCTACACTCCCAGAGCTTGCGGGATGGCGTCACGGCGCCCCTTCTCCCGGGAAGAGGCCTGGACGGTGCCCTGGGGAGGGGAGGAGGGGTGCACGGACCCTGCCGGGCAGCCTGAGGGCAGGAGAGGCTTTCACATCTCGGTGCAGATGATGCTCATGTTTCCCTCCCGCATTCCCTCCTTTTGGGTAATGAGAGGCGGTGCAAGCTTGAATCGGCCCCTTGGCCGTGATTCTTTATCTCATCTTGCTTCTAGGTCGAAGAGATCAGAACCAGCATAGCTAAAATAGCCCAGTATGTTGAAGAAGTAAAGAAAAACCAGAGCATCATTCTTTCTGCGCCAAACCCAGAAGAAAGTAAGTTATCGGCTCCGCTAGAAGCTGCTCGTCCCCTCTCTTGCTCGCTGTCACCCAGGCTGGGGCCGTGCATGGTGAGCGCGGGTCCCCCGCTGGTTCACTCGGGCTCTGCGCATCCCCCTCCCCCACGCGGTGGCTGTAGCCGGCACCCCTGGGTCCCGGCCACCGTGTGCGTGGGGGAGGGGGCGCAGGCAGGCCCGGGCGGGGCTGGGCTTGCATTCCACACCGAGGCTGGAGCGCGGGCCCTCTGGGGCGCCCTGGGTGACCGGGCTCTCCTAAGGACAGCGCACAGCTTGGGCCTCTGCCAGGACTCTTGTGCCCGTTGGGTCTTTGGGGCGTTAGTGATATTGGATGTCACAGCCGCCTTTTTTTAATTTTAAAGAAATAAAAGAAGAACTTGAAGATCTCAACAAAGAAATCAAGAAAACCGCGAATAAGATTCGAGCCAAGCTGAAGTGTGAGTGAGTGTGACCGTGTCTTGTTATTGATGCTGCGATGCGTGTAGTTGTCGTTTCTTTGTCGCTTTTTATTCTTTCACATTTTTTGAAGTCAAAGTTGTGAGCATCTGAAACCGGGGCCCTGGGCGTGCTGGCCCGTTGCCTCGTCTGCGGCTGCGCAGGCTGCCCTGGGGGCCTGGCCCTTGTGCGGTGGCTCCTGCGTCTCCTGGAGAAGCACCGGCGCACGTTCAGCAGGTTGAGCTCCTGCCGTTGGCTTGTTAATCTCACGCCGTCGTGCCCTCACAGAGTGGCTAAATTGCGGACGCGAAAGTGAGTTTCCACTTCTTCTTGAGTGGTGCTTGCGCTTGGCAGGTTCTTGGGAACGTGCGCTGCGATTCAGCCCGTGGTCACCTCTGGCCGGGGGGGTCCTAACCCGAGTCACTCACACGCGCTCTGATGGCCTCCCCGCTTCCCGGGAGCCGGGGATCCTGCCGTGGCCGTACCTCTGCCCCGCCCGCTCTCTGAGGTGTGCCCCGGCTTCACGCTCTCCAGGAGTCAGGCCTGGACCCGGCGCTGCTGTGTCATGTCCCAGGCGTTTCGCTGGAGAAGACCTGGGAATAGAACAGGGACTGCTTAATGACACTGGATCACGAGTCCCCTCCGATAGGTCCAGATCCAGTGGAGGACGAGGACGGATCTGGGCTCTTACTGGCACCTGCACTTTCCTCCCGACAGACCCCAGTATTGGCCGCGCACAGCCTCTGCGCGTCAGAGCACGGGACTGCCGGCCGTGGGGTCTCTGTTCTGTCGTTCTTCCGTCGGCAGGTGAACCCTGCTAGGGATTCAGCCCCACTTTAAGGTCACTTTGAATAGTTCTTTGTGTGAATGTCTCCAGCTTGATCCTCGGTCAGGTTTATAAGTTCCATTTTCTTTTGATTTTTGTTTTTAAAATGTTCAGGAGTTATGTGCAGTATCTGCATTGGTCAGAGTCAAGTCTGCAACTCGCAGGTACACAGAAGTCTAGTTTCTGTGCCTGTCTCCGCCGCCTTTTTCTTTTTGCATAGGTGGTAGCCATTTCCAAAGATGAGAGGTTGTTTTTCCCTTTTTTCTTTAAGCATGTTAAGATGTTAATCAAGGGCCTCCCCGGGGGCGCAGCGGTTGAGCGCTGGGTTGCGAAGCCGCCCGCAGCCTCTGCGGCGCCGGTTCGATCCCGGGCTGCTCCCCGGCCACCGGAGGAGGGTCCCACATGGCGCGCAGACCTCTCCTGCCACCCGCTGCTCCCCTCAGCAGTGTCCTTTGGTCCTTCTGCCTGCTCTGCTCCCCGCTCTGGCTCTGGGGAATCCTCTCACCCTCCCGCGCTTCTGACTGTACCCAGTGCTTGTATAAACAAACAGACAAACAAATAAATAAATGAAAATGCATGCCTCTTTAAAAAAAGAAAACAAAAAACAAAACAGATTTGAAAAAAAAAAAAAGATGTTAATCAAAAGTGGCAGAACGTTTCTTCTCGATGGATAATCTTATTTTAAAGGGTCATTCGCTATTCATTAACTTTGGCTTTATAGAGAGAGACTCTTCAGAGATAAAGAAAAGCAATTTGAGATTTGATTTGAAGGACTTTCATATTGTGGTCTAAAAAGTAGCTTTTTCCTGTTTGTTCCCAGCTATCGAGCAGAGCATTGCTCAGGAGGAGGCTGGCGGCCGAACCTCCGTGGATCTGCGAATACGGACGACCCAGGTGGGGCCTGTGGCGTGTCTTCCAGCCTCTGTCCTCATGAGGGGGGTGGGTGGACGCCTCTGTGTAACGTGGGGAAGGTCTCTCCAGCCCTTCGGCAGAATTCTGTTCTGAAGTGCAGGGGTTACCCAGATCACTGAGTGTGCAAGGGAGGCCTGGCCTCCAGGGGGTGAGGCCACACAGCAGGCTGGGGTTCTTGGCTCTGCGCCCCACTGGGGCAGGTTCTGGGCTCCCACTTGACCCCACAGCCTCGTAACTGGCTCACCCTGTGCCTACGGCTCAGTGGGGGAGCGGACAGCTCAGTAGCCACTGAGAGGCCTGCTGGGATGAGGCTGGTCAGTTGGTCCTGAGCAGCGGGCGCCCCCAGGCCTACTCTCCGCCTGAGAGGAGTGGAGTTCCGGCGCATTACGTCTGCCCAGGCCAGCTGCAGAAACAACCATCACCACCTGGCCCCGTTTCTGTCGGCAGCATTCCGTCCTGTCGCGGAAGTTCGTGGAAGCCATGATCGCGTACAACGAAGCACAGACTCTGTTTCGGGAGCGGAGCAAAGGCCGCATCCAGCGCCAGCTGGAGATCAGTGAGTAGGCGGGGCTGTGCCGGGAAGGTGTGTCTTCCTTAGGGTTGTGTGTCAAAGTGCCGCAGCGCCAAGAGCGGTTTTGTCTCTGTAGTTGCCAGTGTTGTAAGGCCTAAAGCCCCCTCATGACTGCCTGTCCATTGACTTGGCCAAACCTATTTTTTATGTACATATTTCAGAAAATTCTAGGTGAGTGGACCCTAAATTACCTGCTGAGTACCGTAACTTTGGGGTATGATTCAGATTTGGAAACTTCCAGCAATTATTTCTTCACCTTGTCTGCTATGTCCCCAACCCTTGGGAGGCGATTTTACGTGGGTCTCGTGGCTCCATTCTCTGGGGCAGACAGGCTGCCCCTGTCAGGATGTTGTGGCCGTCAGCCGTGTCCCTCGTGGCTAGGGGCGTCTGCTGATGGGGAGAGGTCAGGCAGGGTTGGCTGCCTGTGCTGTGCCAGGTCGGGGCTTCCTCACTGTGACGCCAGCCCACAGCTCCCCAGCTGCTCCGTGACCACATGGACATGGGGATCCAGGGACAGCTGCGCCCTGGACCTCACTGAATGACAGCTTGACCAGGAGAGTTGACACAGCACGGGGGTGGGGGCAGGCCGCTGCGCCACCACCCTCAGTGCCCGGAGGAGCCCCCACGTGACCCTCTGTTCCTCAGAGCTGCCCTCCTGGACGTTTCGTGCAGACTGTGGTCTGGGACGGCCTCTCCCCCGATAGGACTTGGGCCCTGGGCTGCGCCTGTCCCACTGGCCCTCCCATGGCCACTCCCGCCTTGTGGTCCTGCCGGGCTGCACCTGCTTCCCTCCCTCCTTCCTTCGGGCCCTTGACGGTCGGGTTCCCGCTCTTGGTGGCTGTGAACACTGAACATTCACATCAGATGACATTGAAGTCATTTTAATGTTACCCACCTAACTTTGTTTTCTGTGACACAAATTGTGAAAAGTGATCGTTATTGATTAGGTTTTTCCAAAAACCTTTGGTGGGTGTTCTAGAGCGCGCTCGTGCATTTATCACATGCACCGCAATTTCTCTGAGTCAGCCAGAGAAAGTGTTACCACCTGACCGTGGTTCACGTCCATTTAACGTGCGCTGAATGCAGCTCACTCCTTCTCCATAGCCAGAGTTGTGGCCTTAGGAAAGTGGAGGTGCCAGAAAGTCCCATGTTGGTTTCCCCTTCATAGCTGTTCTGTCCCCGCCGAAGAAGGGCTCGTCACCAATCCCCATCCGCTAAGGAGTTCCCCATTTCCAGTTCTTCCTGTTGACCTTAATTTCTGCCAGCATGCAGGAGCTACCCCTGGAAGGCCAGGGAAACGTTGTTTAAAAATGTTGATAACCCCGGTAGGCTGCTGACTTAGGGCATGCGCAGCCTGTGCGCTGAGTGGAGTCTTCTTGCTCGCTGCTCTTTCAGCTGGGAAGACGACCACAGACGATGAGCTGGAGCAGATGCTGGAGAGTGGGAGCCCGTCCATCTTCATCTCTGACGTGAGTGCCGCCTCGTGCCCGGGCGTCTGCCCGCTTCTCCATCCCCCTCCAACCACGGACGTTCATGAGCGTTTCTCTTGTTTTTCAAAGATCATATCAGATTCCCAGATCACCAGACAAGCCCTCAACGAGATCGAGTCCCGGCACAAGGACATCATGCGGCTGGAGACCAGCATCCGGGAGCTGCACGAGATGTTCATGGACTTGGCCGTGTTTGTGGAGACCCAGGTAACCATGTCTGCCACCCGAGCCTCCTTCCTGTGTCAAATCCGCGTTTGGGTCCAGTTCACCTGGGAAAGAACTTTTGGATCCAGTCTCAAAGTTCTGAAGCTGATCACAGTTCACGCTGTGAGACTCAGACACTGGCGTCGCCTGCATGGTCGGGGCTGCATTGTGGGTCGGCGGGCGGGGCCCTAGTGCAGCTAAGCACACAGCCGTGCGCCGTGGGCTTCATGGGGAGCGGCTCTGACAGGGTGCGGAGGTGCGTGCACTGGGCCTCACGCGGGGGACACGTGTGTGCCTGGACGGGCATCTGGATGGGTGCGGCGTGAGCTGTCACCGGAGGAGAGAAACGTGGCAGACAGTGTAGCACTGGGTCTGTGGGGATTTTAATTTTCTCTAAAATGGGTATGTTTATAAGCTTTTTTCAAGGAGCACGTTAAGATAACAATCAGGAGAAATGTCTAAGGCCCAGACGCTGTCCACAGCACAGGTAGAGCCCATAGGCGTGACGCGGGGCCTGGTGTGAGGAGGCCCTCGAGGAGCTGAGGCGTGTCAGGAGCCTGCTCCCTGTGGGGTGTCTGCCCTCAACACTGCCTGTGGAGGGCTGAGGCCTGGCCTGTGAGCTGCAGCCCCGGAGGTGTGCCCTGGAGCCTGCTCCCGGAGCTGCCTGTTGTGAGGAATTTTACATAAAAATGTGTGGGAAAAACTGAGGTGCTGTGCTCTGCAGGAGAAGCCAGCAGCTGCCTGGGGCTTTGGATGTGGGCGACCCTGTGGCCACTCGTGACTTGGGCTCAGGGCTGGGAGTGTGGGGACTGCCCAGGACTGGTCCAGAAGGACTGGCCGGACCATGAAGCTGTGGTTCTCTTCCGGTCTAAGGAGGCCAGTTAGCACGCCGTGGCCATCCAGCGATGGCTCTGCTGGGCACTAGGGCAGCCGCCTGCCCCCTCCCAGTCGGGGCCCTGACGATGCCCCTCTGATCAGTGTGTGGTCGGCACTGGCAAGGAGCATGTGTCACCCTTCGCCGCTCTGCCCCTCACTGCTGCGGAGCGTGGCTGCTGTGGACGAGGAGCCAGGTAACGCGTCTGCCCTGCCTTCCACCTGATTCTCCTCGTTCCATATCTTTGCTCATTCGTTCAGTCAACTTTGTGTCAGACGTGAGCTAGTCGCAGTTCACAGCTATTTTAAGAAGTCCGCGCCAGTCTTCTGCCCACCGGAGGAGGCCCCTGGCGCTGCGTGTCCTGTGTGACGGCCGCCCTCGCCCCGCCTGTCTCGGGGCCTCCCGCCCATCCTGTCAGTGCTTTTTACAGCAGACAGCGAATCCCGATCGCTTTGTGTTGTGACATCAGTGACGTCCGTCTTCTGTGAATGTGGCTGCCAGCCCCTGCCCGCTGCACGCCCGCGCCGTGCATGTGGGGCCTCGCCGGTGCTCCTGTCTTCCCCGCCAGGACGGCATTTGACAGCGTCACCTAATTTAGAAACTTTTTGCTTTAAGGGTGAAATGATCAACAACATAGAAAAGAACGTCCTGAACGCTGCGGAGTATGTGGAACACGCTAAAGAGGAAACTAAGAAAGCTATAAAGTATCACAGCAAAGCGAGAAGGGTGAGTTGGGTTTTTACGAGTGAAAGTGACGTTTTCTCTTCATTTGGTGTCACTGCGGAATGCGTGGATCCAAGCCGGCCCCGAGGTGTCCTTCAGGCGTGCTTCGTTGTCAAACTGAGTAACTCTTCCTGCTAATTTCTTTGGGGGTTTATGAGCTACATTGTGGGACTGTGATCCCTTTTGTGTCCCAGATATTTAAAACCCTCCACAGCCTTGTGCCAGGGCGTTTCCCTCCCCGGGTTGGACGGCATCAGCTCCAGAACCGTCTCTTGTTACGTGGCGGGGGCTACAGAGCTGACGGGCTTGCCCATCCCGCATGTGGGACGCGCTCTTCTTGGCCAGCTCTCTGGCTGGGGGACGAGGATGGCTGGGGCGCTCATCCTGCCCCCTGAGGCCGCCATGGGCGGAGTCCTGTGAGGCCTAGGGAAACCCAGTCCGCTCGGTTCTATGGGTGCTGGATGCCAGCCTCTCCCGCAGCCCCAGCTCGCCCACGCCGCTGACCCATGACGGACAGGGAGTCGGCACTACTAGTCAGCTCACTTTTCTTGACAGAAAAAGTGGATCATCGTGGCAGTGGCAGTGGTGCTGGTGGCTGTGCTGGCCCTGATCATCGGCCTGTCGGTTGGCAAGTGAGGCAGGGGCACGGCGTGCCCAGCTGTGGCGGGTAAGTAACTCCCACCTGCCCGCTTGCCCACGCCTGTGCTGAGTTGCTCCTGACGGCCGCCTGCTTGGGCCCTGGGGGAGGGCGGCTCATGCTCAAGCTCACCCTGCCTGTGGCCATGCCCAGGGGGCGCGGCTCTCAGGGAGAAGCGGACACAGAGCTGTGGCTGTGTCTGGGCGGCCCGCGGGGTGGCAGCGGCAGCGCGGCTGTCGTCTCCTCGCCTGTCGCAGCGGAGTCCGCGGGGTCAGAACCAAACCTGAAACCAGGCCGAGAAAGCAGCGCTCCCGTCTCGCTTGTTTCTGCTTGGTGGCAGCTGGGGCAGCTGCTTGGCTTAAAAATGTGTCCTTGTTAAAATGGAAACTGCATTTGGTGGTCTCGCCGGCTGGTCCTGCCGGAGGCCCCTGCCAGGGCCCACCCCTCAGGGGAGCCGCGGGGTCTCCCTGGGTCCCCGAGGCCTTGTGCCAGGCCCTGTCGCCACGTGCATCCCATTCACCTGCGCCCCGGTCCCAGCCTTCCCGGGCACGTTCCACCCAAGCCTGCTTCGGCACGAGGCTGGGTGTGGGCTTCTGCTGTCCCGGGAAGCGAGCCTGGGGCCTGCGGGCGTCTCTGTGTCTGCCGGGGCTTCCGGGGACTCTGCCCAGACGAGGGCATGTGCGGCCTTTCCGCAGCACGCGGCGTGTACGGTGTTTGCAGGATTCTTTCTGAACTGTGTTTTCCTGATTTTTCCTGGTGGCATTAGATGGCCGCATGTGGTTACGCTGCAGATAAGGTTGCAGTTGTTAGCGTGGCCCGGCGCAGTGAGTGCTTCTCCTGGGTGCTGTTTGGTGGCACTGTTGACAGGAGGCTTCTCTGCATGGAGTGTGGGGTCCCAGCCCAGAGCCCGGAGCCTGGGCGCTGCGAGTGCTGCCTGGGGACCCCGGAGGAGTTGTGTCCCAGCCCGGCCTGCGGGTGTGGGCGGCTCCCAAGGGCACCTCTGCCCCCCCGAGGAGGGGCCTCATCTTGTGGCTGGAGCTGCTTCCATTGCAGGGGGCCAGGGGGGCGGCCATGGGTGTTCGCGGGGCTCCCGAGCTTCCAAGGTGCTGGCGCCAAGGCGTGTACCACACGCAGAGAAGTGGAAATAAGGTTTTCAGCAGATGAGAAAGAGATTCAGTTAAGCCTTCAAAGGCTGTGAGCACAGCTGAGAGGAGTCGGGCAAGGGGTGTAGGCACCTTCCCCCTGCACCCCCCCACCCCGCCCCACGTTGTCCCCCTCAGGGAGCGGGGAGTGCTTGGGCCTGCGCGCTGAAGTCACCTAACTTAAGACACACTACACTTTGCCTCCAGGACTGTCCCTCCCACCCTCCTCCTGAGGCCCAGAGGGTTCCTTTGGGTGATGGACTCTCAGATTCCGGGAGAACTTTGTCAGGAGCTGATGTCAGTGGTGTATTTCCTTTGACAGCTTGCAAATTAATGTTTTTCTTTATCTTGCAGAAAATGGTGTTCACTATATTTTGTGTAATTATTTTGCTCGAGATCCTTGGCGTGACCCTAGCAGCGACACTGTCAGAGCAGTCGTAGCTGGGAGTCTCCCTGGGGTGGGTCACACCTCAGGAGAGTCGTGTCCCAGCTCTCGCGTGGCCCCGCTTGGTGACTGGCTTTGTGATCTGGTCTTGGGAGTGAAGGAGAAACCCACGGGTGTTCAGGGAGAGAAGCGGGAGAATGGCGGTGGTGAATTCACGCAGGGATGCCTGGACTCTAACAGCAGAAAATTATGCCACAGGGAACTTATTTCAATGGCCTGAAAATAAGGAATTACTGAGAATTTCAATTTTTTTATATGTCAGTGTTAAAGGTATATGTGAAGCTTAATTAGGAATATTTTATGTTACCAAGTGGTTAGCTTCCGGGCCGAAGACGTCTTCCTGCCTTCCTCCTGGCTGACCTGCTCACTGAGAGATGCTTTGTGCTATGTTCACTTTGTTTATTATTTGCAAAATAATTTTTTATGACAGAACTGTTTTGTAATATATCTATAATTTTAACTGTTTATTGTTTAATATATTAACACATTCGTTGGCTCTGCCTTTGTGCATTAAACACGGCCTTTTAAAGGGCCAGGGAGCTTCAGCTGAACGGCCGCCGGTGGGGCTGCCGGTTCTTTGGCAGAGAAAATGCGGGCAGGTGCCCCAGAAAGCCTTCTAGTGCCTTCTGTCAGTGTCGACTCACAAAGTTTACGGGCGCCCGACCCCTCGAGCAGCCTCCAGTCCTGTGCTGCACCCCCTCCCCGCCTGTTCCGCCACCCAGGACGGTAAGCGAGCGCCTGCCCCGACAGACGACTCGTCGCCCCTTGAGAGCGCCCGTGCTTCTGTCTGCGCCCATAAAGCCTGAATGGAATGAAGATGGTGATGCACCCCAGATGGAGTCCTTCCAAACCCTCGGGCTGTGTCCCCAGACGAGATCTGACAGGCTGCTGCAGAGACACTGTGAGGGCCCGCTTTCTGCTGAACCCCAAAGTCAGCTCCTAAACCCCGCAGCAGCGTGACGACCGCCTGCATCGCGCATTGAAGCCTGTTAGGTGTTGGTGCGGGCGATTGTCGTTCGCTCCGCGGAGCACGTGGAGTCTCACCAGTGGACAGACATCTGTCCTGGCAGCACCCAGTCGGAACTGAGCCATGTCCACAGCTGTGCCGTGTGTCCTGGGCTTGCAGGGGTACGTGGACCCTGCTCCGGGGACAGCCGGGTCCTCGGCCTCGCCTGCTGCGGTTGCGGATACCCCGCCCGCGGGACAGCTCCCCTGGCCGAGCTGGAGCCTGCCCACGTCTCCCGGGGGCCCAGCACGCAGGCCCTGGCTGCTTGCTCCCAGGGGGCCGCTGGGTCGCACGCACCGCTCATGCGCGCCAGGCTGAGTGGCGAGTGTTGAAGGCGCAGACGCCCCGAGATCATGCTTGTGCTAGAGTAGCTCCTGCGTCCCCCGACACGTGCCGAGAGCCCGGTGCTGTGCCCACCTCTCCCCAGCTCGGTCCTCGCCCTCGCCTCTCAGGATGAACGCTACTGCCGCCTTCCAGGCACGCTCCCTGGGTTGCAGTGGTCACCGGCCTGCGTTTTATAGTTGAAGTTACGGAAATGTTCTTTTGGCTTCTGTTTAGGTATTTAAGTGCCGGTGACACCTCTGTATCTCTAAACCTCATGCACCTATTTGAAATTAGATTTTTAAAAAATAGTTATACTTTTTATCAACTCATCAGCTGTTTCGTGTTTACATTACGAAATTCCCAGAGAACCAAGAAAATGTACTTTCTGCCTTATCATTTCTGGAAAGATTTTTGCGAGACTATCTCCCATTAATAAACTGATTATGAAGAAACCCGTGGCTGTTATTGTGTCTAAAGATACGTGACTTAATACTTAGAGTGTTGATGACGATTTACGTTTGTTGTGGTTATTTTAAAGCTGTGGTTCCCATCTGAAATGTCGGCGGAAGCTGTCAAGGATTCGCTGTGTTCTTGCTGTTCACAGCACATGCCGGGGGATCTGGGCTAGGGCCTGACCTGCTTTGACCTCAGGTGCGAGACAGATCCCCCTACCATCCCGCCGGGGAGGCCCCCCCGCTCTCAGTTAAGTTGCTTCCTGCTTTCCTTAAGCCTCTTTCAGAGCTCTCTTATTAAGTGCGACTTCCTTCCTCCTTCGCCCCTACTGAATTTTAAGCATTGTGGAAAGTGATGTTCAAAAACAGAATTAAAAAAGACAGTCCCGCGGAAAGCCAGTTCTTGGGGGGAGAGGCCCAACAGCAATTCAGATGCCCTGTCCGGCGTCTTGCAGGAGTTCACTTTCAAGCTGCAGCCTTGACACACATTCAGTGGTTTGGCTTCTTTGTTGGGCTGCAGCCTCTGCAGTCCAGGTGAGAGCCTAGGCCTGGCGGGGGGTGAGGCCAGGGGTCTGGGGGCGGGGGAGGGCGCCCAGGTAGGTGGGGCACTGGCCCAGGAGGCCGGTCCTGGGCACCCCAGACAGGACCCCCTGCCAAACCTGCGGAGCTTGCCGAGCGCCCTGAGGGCTTTAGCTCTGGCTTTAGCTCTGGTGTCGCGGGTCCCCTCAGGATGGCAGGCTGAGTGCGTTCCAGGGAAGGGAGGGCAGGGCCAGGGGCAGCTCCCTGGTCAGCTGGCGCCTCCCCACGCCTGTCCTCCATCCCTGCAGCCCTGCGCCGTTGGAGAGCTGCAGGCAGGCTGGCGAGGAGGGCGGCCGTGGGTGCCTGGCGGGCAGCCTCGCCGGGCGGGTGTGTTGGGTCAACCCGGGCCTTGGGGCTGGGCCGCCATTTCAGTGACCACAGGAGTGCGGCCGGCCGGGCCCCCACAGGCCGGCTCGCGAGGGAAGCTTCTGGAAGAAGGTGCTGCTCTGAGACGACACCCGCGCCCCGGGGCTTTCCCGGCCGTTTGGGAAGCGGCGGCGCCCGGGGCAGCCCTGGCCGAGCTGAGGTCGCCCAGCCGGCTCGGGTCAGCCCGGCCGGCGCGCGGGGGACGCGGCCACGAGACCAGCGGGCGCGGAGCCGGGGTGGGGGGGCGCCCAGCGCGCGGTGTCCAGGCGCTCCCGAGCACGGGCCTGGCGGGCGGAGCAGGGGCGGCCCGGCCGTGGACGGCCACTGCGCGCGGCCCCGCTGTGGTGGCGGCCAACTGGGGTGCGGGTCCTGGCGGGGCGGGGGGGGGGGGGGGGGGGGGCGGGAGAGGGCGGGGGGCGGCCCCAGGCTTGGCCGCCGGCAGGCAGCGGTTGGCGGGCTCGGCTCAGCACCAATCAGCTCTCAGGCAGCGGTTGGCGGGCTCGGCTCAGCACCAATCAGCTCGCAGGCTAGGTTTGGCGGGCTCGGCTCAGCACCAATCAGCTCTCAGGCAGCGGTTGGCGGGCTCGGCTCAGCACCAATCAGCTCGCAGGCTAGGTTTGGCGGGCTCCGCTCAGCACCAATCCGCTCGCTCCTTTCAGCGCCGCGCCCCGGGACGGCCCCGCGGGGCCTCAGGCGGCGCTGGAGCTGGGCCGCGTGTCAGCCTGCACGGGCTCGGCCGGGCGAGGCCCCGGCGCTCGGTGAGTGCCCGCGGGGCGCGGGGCGGTCACGGGCGCGGCCCGGCGTGGGCGGCCTGTCCGCGGGGCTCTGAGGCCTCCCCGCCCGGAGGGAGCAGCGCGCGCCGCCCGCCAGGCTCGCCCAGAGGCGCTGCCGGCCCCGCGCGGCTCCCCGACCCCAGGTTCCGCGCGTCGGCGCCCGTCAGGGCCTCTGCGCGCCGGCCCGGGCGTGACGGTGCCGCGGCCGCGCTCCAGCCGCCCCGCGCGGGAGGCTCCACAGGCGCCCGGGCGCCTCCCCGAGGCCGGCGTCTGCCGCGGTCAGTCAGGCGGGAGCGGGCGGCAGGGACTCGGCTCGGCAGCGGGGAGGGCTGGGCCTCGCGGGCAGGGCGGAGGGCCGCAGCCGTGGCTCGGCGGTCCTGGCGCCCGCGGGAGGCGGGCGGCGTCGAGGGGCCGGACCCGGGGGCCGCGGCCTGTGGGCGCTGCGCTGCGGCACCAGCCACTCTGGGACCCGCAGGACAGAGAACAAGGCCGCCGGCCGGTGCCGGTGACACCTCGCTGTGGATCCGCCGCTCTGGGTGCTCTGGGCCCTCTGGCTCCTCCGACCCCTGCAGACGGGCGCGTGCCCAGGAGAGGGGCGCCCTGGCTCCCCAGTCGGCCAGATGGAGGACACCTGCGGCCCCAGATGGCGGCCCTGGCTTCCTCCCTGTTGAGCTGAAGCTGCAGCCCGCACCGTCCGCGCGGGCACTGTGGGCGCCCGGGAAGCCGGCACTAGAGGGGTGCTCGTGGGGGGTGCGGGAGGGGCCCGTGGGGAGCTGCCACAGCCCGAGACCCAGAGCAGTGATGCCTTGCTGGGGATGCAGGAGAGTTGGGGAGACCCAGCGACATCAGCTTTCAGAGCCACCCACAGAACCGCCGGTGATGCAGCGCAGGGGCTGGGAAGCCGCCTGGTCAGAGGGTGAAGACACGGCGGCCCGAGAAGTTTCCATGCAACGCTCAGACACAGGACCAGCCGGCGCTGCCAAGGCAGACGTGGCCCCGCGGGCTGGCTGCTGCGTCTCTGCAGGGCCAGCCTGCCCGCCAGCCCCTCCGCTCTCTGTGAACCACCTCACTGTTCGTCCATCTTGGCAACCGCAGAAATGCCGCACAGCTGAGTTGCCCACCCACGTGCACGCCTGAGCGTCCCACGCCACGAGGTGCCATCCAGACCGCGTCTCCCGAATGGGAATGTGGGAAAGCACTGTTGCTCTCCATCAGTGATGGTGTTTGAGGGGCCCCAACGAGGTGACACCTGACCCCCCAGCAGAGAGCCCCAGCAGAGCCTCCCGCGAGCCCAGCAGGGATAGCGGGACAGTGACAATGGCACAGCAGGGCAGAGAGCACCGAGGCCCAGCTGGCAGGAGCGGAGGGCGCGTCGTGGGCAGTTGGGTGGCAAAGCAAGAGCGGCATGTGTCGGGTCAGCCTGTCGCGGAGCTGTGCTCCCAGAACGAGTTGCTAAGAAATGATCGACTGTCGCCTGCTTTATGTCCAAGGGATCCAGAAGCAGGGGCGGCGCGCACCGGTGGAGGGACAGCCTCGGCCGCTGGGTCTCTGCGAGACTGTGCTGAGTTGTCGTTGGAACAGGACTTGGAAGGGAGCGCTCTCCTGGGGACACAAGTCCACTGAGGCCAGGCTGGTCACAAAACAAGGAAACCCAATGAGGGGACACTGCCCCCAGGGCCAGAGGTGCAGAAGGGTGCGACCCCTGCCTGGCCCCAGGGCTGCCCTCCCCGTGATCCCCCCCTCGCTGCCCACTGTGACCAGAGAGCGCCACTTCTTTGGGCTTTGGGCATTATAATCTGTTAACCCACGTGAACACCTGCAGGAAACGGGCTGGTGACAGGGTACGCCGGGCACAGACCTTCCCCGGCTGCTCCAGCGTCTTCCTGTTTGGGTGCCGGGCGTGTTGGTGCCTCTTGTCGCTGCTCCAGGCGCCGGGTTGGGGGTGAGCTGGGCGCCGCTTCTGTCACTTGATGGGCCCGGTTGAGTCAGGCTGCAGACTCTGTTTTTGGAACCAGCTTCTCAGCAGTCTGCCTTATCACAAGCCTGAGCACAGCTCCCGAGCGGGCACTGACCCTGCCTTTCCCCCTGGAGCCCCATCATCAGTCCCTGAGCCTCGTGAGCTCCAAGCAGTTGGACAAACAGACTGGACCCAAGCCATCGGCAAGGGAACGCGCGGTGGGAGCCAGCAGTCAGGGCCAGGCCAGGCAACTCATTCCTTATTTATTAGCGTAATGGGAATCCTTGCTGGGGTTTTAAATATACTTTATGCTAGGGTCGCATCTTAAATATATCTGCAGTGTATTAATAATTAAACAGAAGTGGAAAATATTCAGTTTGGGGAAGGAAAGTTGGAATCATCAGCTTTGTACAAAGAACCCTCCTGGTGAGAGTTTGCCTGAATCAGGATCTAAGGTTTCAGCCCAGACTTTGCTTGAAAATTAGCTTCTTGTCAGAAGCAAAAAGGGAGGAACCCTAAGAGGATACAATGCCACCGACTTTGTTGTAACTGTTCTCTGGAACCTAAGGTGAAAGAGGAAAAAAAATTGCTGTATTAATTAAAACAGGACTTGACAAACATACAGTGTCATAGACAGGCGAGGTTTTATTTCTGCTCGCATGAGAAGTTTGCACGTAGGCAGCTGCCAGCAGTGACTAATGGTTCACTTGCTCTTTCCCTCATGATCACAAGATGGCTGCCATGGTGCCGGCCATCACCGCCGTGTGCAGAACAGGAAATAGGAGAACGAGGGGTCGCTCTGACCTCAGCTATCCTCTTGTGAGAAAGCAGATGTTCTCCCAGACCCCTCCAGTCTCCTGCTCATGGCTCCAGGCGCTCCAGCGGCTCCAGCCGAGTCGGGCCTGCCCTACAGGTTCAGTATCTGTTCGTGTAGAAGAAAGGGATGAGCGGATATCAGCAAGGAGTAGCTCTCTGGCCACCCCGGCCAAACCAAGTTTTCACAGCATTCAGTATTTCTCACTTTTTCGGTTTTAGGACAATGGCTCCGCTGTGTCTCCTCTGGGAGAAGGACACCCCACTCGACAAGGTCATGGACTCCGCCGAGAAACCAACCCCCACAGCGGGTGGCCCGGAGGCCAGCCTGGACAGGCACCTGGAAATCTGAGCCCTGGAGGGCGAGCGAGAGTCCGCGGGACCAGCAGGTGGCTCAAGGTGAGCTCTCTGCGTCCGGCGTGTGTGTCAGTGGACCCGCCAAACACCCGCTCCAGGGGCGGCTCACGGGCCAGAGCTTTGTCTTTGGGCCATTTGGGGATGTCCCCACTATT